AGATGAGTCATTTCACAGCAAGAATGATTCTCGAGGATAAACAGTGAATCATCAATGAATGGAAAGGTCTATGCAACTGACATTAACAGGCAAGATGAGGAAAAGAGATTTACGCAGTTGAAAGATCAACCTTACTATTCAGGTGTTATTTGATGAAGTAGGCTTTGGTAGGCTTTAGTTTATCGACTGAGTGGTCTAAAGCTAGGAGTTAGAGAACTGGAGGACGACACAAGGTGATGCTACTGCTAAGGAGACTTCTGTCTCAAGCTGTGGATGGTTGAGTGGGTTCATAGTCATTTGAATCTGCACAAAATCCAAGTGATACATGTATGTGGGATTGCACAGCATCTAAGGAGTTACCAGAAACACTTTCAAAGATTCTCAGGGGTTAGAGTAGCAATAAAAAAATTTTAGATGTCTACAGAACAAGTGTCAGCTAGGAAAATGTGTGCCTGGTTTTAAGGTTTCAAATTCATGGCCCATGCCCATTTTGGTGGAAATGTACCCAGGGATTGCAAACTTAAAAGCGTCTGTCTTACTTTGGATTTATGAATACATGGCCTTTCAAAAAGCCTTTTAGAACTGAAACATAGTTACATGGGTAGAGGAACTTCTAGGAATCTATGAATGTGTTTTCCCTTTTGTTCTATATCAGCGGCAAACTTGACATACATGCTTTCTCTGTCTTCATAGGTATCACTGGCAAAATATTTTAGACATGAGTAAGGGTGAGGCCTAAGGACATGCAACTAGAAGAGCATATCCAAGAATATGTTCCATGGATTAGGTAGGGAAAAAACAAAGAGTCCATGATCTAATAGGGTTGGGAAATGCTAAAATAATGTTAAAAAAAAGTAGAATGTGTTTCTTTCTTTTTTTTTTATTTCAGCAAATTAAGGGGATACAAATGTTTAAGTTACGTGTGTTGCCTTTCCCCCCACCAGAGTCAGAGCTTCAAGTGTGTCGATCCCCCAGAATGTGTTTCTCATTGAACTGAAGAAGGTACATGAAAGTGATTGCCATTAGAATATGCCTACCTGACTTCCAACTAGAGGGAGCATAATTGATGGCAAATGCCAGCTGCTGCCCTCTGAAATCCACCAGTCCATTTGTGGGGGCCCAGGTTTCCCAGAGGCAGCTCCTAGGCAATGAGAGAGGGCACCGGGGTACTAAGTTAGGCCCACTCCTGGAGGTCTTAAGAATCTCGAACAGCCAGCTTTGTCTCAAGGACTTCCGGACAGACTCGCTCATGTTTAATTAGGTTTCAGAGCAATTGAGAAACTTCAACTCCATCTTTCTTGTCTCTCTTCTCACTCAGGGTCAGACTTGCACTGTGGTCTGACCACTCTCCCATCCTTTCCCAACTTCCTCCCCATTTTCTCTCTTGGGCATTTCCCTACTAGAATCCACCCATATTCACTCTGACCCTGGTATCTACTTCACAGACAACCCAGACAAAGATAATAACTCATAAACCTCTGTGCATAGAAAAAAATAACAGCCAACTATATTAGGCAAAAGCTGTTAGGAATAAAAAAGAATTATATAAAAATGTAATGTTACTGGGAAATGTTAGTATTACCCTTTCAAAATCAGTCATAAGTAAAAGACAAAAATAAAAAAAACTAAAGGAATTTATGCATCTATAATCCTTCAAAAAGGTAATAAAAATTATTTTCTAGGTTGATGGAACAAAGGAAGGAGGGATTCTGAAGTCCATGTTTCTTGTCATCATCCAATAGAGGTAGAATAAATAATAAAAAGCGATAATATTAATAGAAATTATGAAATACGTTAGACAAACTTTGAAACAAAGAGGCAATCGAAACTGAAACATGGCATAAGTTGCATGCAGAGGGAAATTTACATAATTAAATGATTTTATTGAAAGAGAGAGATTAAAAATTATGAAAACTTTGTATCATAGAAAATTAGAGAAGTGAAAATAAGATAAACCAAAAGAAAACAGGAAAACAATTAATAAAGATAAAAGTGAAAATAATTTTAAAATAATAAAAGAGATAGGAGAATGGATAAATAAATCCAAAAGTTAGTTTGTGAAAATGCCAGTGAACTGGACAAACCCTTCATAAGTTTGATTATGATTAAAAAACTTAAAGATTTAAAACAGGTGCAAAATATGCATGATTAGGAATAGGTAAGGAGATATAACCATAACCATAGATACAGAAGAAATTAAAAAGAACTACAATATATAATAGCATACAATATAATATAATAATATAAATAGAAAAAGTATATATTATCTGTATAAGCATATAAAATATACAATATATAATAAACACTATAGTAAGAGGTTATATAACCTTTTTTTTTTGAGACAGAGTCTCGCTTTGTTGCCTAGGCTAGAGTGAGTGCCGTGGCATCAGCCTAGCTCACAGCAACCTCAAAGTCCTGGGCTCAAGCGATCCTGCTGCCTCAGCCTCTCAAGTAGCTGGGACTACAGGCATGCGCTACCATGCCTGGCTAATTTTTTCTATATATTTTTAGTTGGCCAATTAATTTCTTTCTATTTATAGTAGAGACGGGGTCTTGCTCTTGCTCAGGCTGGTTTCGAACTCCTGACCTCGAGCAATCCGCCCGCCTCTGCCTCCCAGAGAGCTAGGATTACAGGCGTGAGCCACCGCGCCCGGCCTATATAACCTTTTAATAACAAATTTGAGGCCAAGCACAGCAGCTCACACCTGTAATCCCAGCACTTTGGGAGGCTGAGGCAGGAAGATGACTTGAGGCCTGAAGTTTGAGACTAGCCTGGGCTCAAAACCCCCCAGCCTGGCGAGAACCCCATCTCTACAAAAATTAATAAAAATTAGCCGTTGTGGTGGTGTGTGCCTGTAGTCCCAGCTACTAAGGCAGGAGGATGGCTTGAGCCCAGGAGTTCAAGGTTGCAACAAGCTATGATTGTGCCACTGTAGTACTCTACCCCGGGTGACAGAGTGAGACCTTGTCTCTACAAAAAAAAAAAAACACAATTTTTTTTTCAATCTATAGGAAACACTTGACTCCTAACAAAATATAAATTGCTGTAATTGACCCAAGATAAAGTAGCAAGGTACTATAGAAGGCTTGGAAAGGTGTTTAAAAGATTTCATATCCAGATGATGTCAAAACTGAGTTTTGTCTAATATTTAAAGTCCAGATGATTTCATTGTTCTTTAAACTCTCAACCCCAAGCCACAAAAAGATGGAATGTCCCCTCCCCCCATGACCAAAGTTATGAAGCTAGTGTAAATTTAATACCAGATTCTGGTAAAGATAATTATTAAAAAAAATGTCAACCAGTGTTTTGAAAAATCTCAACCACTGTTATGTATGACTATAGATACAAAAATTATAAATAAAAATATAGCAAATATAATTCAACATTGTTTTCAAAGATTAATACACTATAGTCAATTTGGATCTACTCATACATTGCAAAGATGATGCCATAGTACAGAATCTGTCAACATAATTCATACTCTAAACAAATTAAAGGAAAAATATGACCGCATCAATAGATTCTTGAAAAGCATTTGAAAAATCTAACAGTCTAAATCTAGTCTAAATCTAACAATTTTTATCTAAAAGATAAAAATTTTGAGTAAATTAAGAATAAATGATAACCACTTGATAATGATTTGAAAAACTTGCTCAAACACCAATAGAAAATTATTCTAAATGGTGAAACAAACTCATTTCCGTTAAAATCATGACTATCATAGGATTCCTGCTATCTGCATTATAATCCAATATGATGTACATTCTAGTAAATGCAGTAATATTATACAATAAAATAATTCATAAGAACATTGGAAAAGAAGAATAATAGTACAGTAGTCCCCCCTTATCTGTGGGGATTCCTAAAACCATGGCTAATACTGAGCCCTACATACACTGTGTTTTTTCCTATATGTACATACCTACCAGTACAATAAAGTTAAATTAATAAATTAGGCACAGTAAGATTAACAATAACTAATAATAAAGTAGACCAATATTAACAATATGCTGTAATAAAAGTTATGTGAAGGCCAGGCGTGGTGGCTCACGCCTGTAATCCTAGCACTCTGGGAGGCCGAGGCGGGCAGATTGCTCAAGGTCAGGAGTTCAAAACCAGCCTGAGCAAGAGCGAGACCCAGTCTCTACTATAAATAAAAAGAAATTAATTGGCCAACTGATATGTATATAAAAAATTAGCCGGGCATGGTGGAGCATGCCTGTAGTCCCAGCTACTCGGGAGGCTGAGGCAGAAGGATCGCTCGAGCCCAGGAGTTTGAGGTTGCTGTGAGCTAGGCTGACGCCACGGCACTCACTCTAGCCTGGACAACAAAGCGAGACTCTGTCTCAAAAAAAAAAAAAAAAAAGTTATGTGAATGTGATCTCTCTCTCTTTCTCGAAATGTCTTATTGAATTGTCCTTACCCTTCTTCTTGTGGTGATGTGAGATATAAAATGCCCACATGATGAGATGAAGTGAGGTGAATGATGTAGGCATTGTGATGTAGTGCTAGGCTACTACTGAAAACCAATTTAAAACTTATGAATTATTTATTTCTGGAATTTTCCATTTACTATTTTCAGACTGCAGCTGACTGCAGGTAACGACAACTGTGGAAAGTGAAACCATGGTTGGGGAGAACTACTGTTATTTGTTTTTACTGACAAGGCAATTTTATACCTAGAAAACCCAGAGGTTTCTATTTTAAAAGCTGCTTTAATGAAAAAGAAAAAAGGGAAAATGGGCTGCGTACAAGACAAAAATACAAAGTTTAACATCTTTTCTTTATATTAGCAATAAAAACCTGCAAATGAAAATAGAAAAGAAAAATTATTTTATTTGCAATAATTCCCAAATACCTCCAAGAGCTAGGACTAAATTTAATATGAAAGGTAAAGGTCCCAAATAAAGGTAATTATAAAATCGTAACAAAGGAAATGAAATAAATGCAGAATGTCTTAGTCTGTTTGGGCTACTATAACAAAGTATGGTATACAGGATGGTTTAACAACAGACATTTATTTCTTACAGTTCCAGAGGCTGGCAGTGTGAGATTAGGTTGTGAGTGTGGTCAATTCCGGTGAGGACTCTCTTCCAGACTGCAGGTGGCTGCCTTCTCATCCAGCGGGGCAGAGTGAGCTCTCTCGGGACACTTAGAAAGAAGCTAATCCCTTCTCGGGGACTCCATCCTCACGACCTCATTTAATCCTAATCACCTCCCAAAGGCCCTACCTCTTAATACCATCACATTGTAGGGTGGGGTTTCAACATAAGAATTTTAGGGGGACACACACATTCTTTCCATAACACTGAACAGTGAGAAGGCATAAAGTTTTTTGAATCAGAAAATTAGATCTCATAAAATGTATACCCTTCCCATTTTACAGTACATGGCTAATGTAATTCCAGTTAGAATTCTGTGGTAGTGAATGTTTTATCCTCAAGTCTCCATTCTCTCTCTCTTTCTTGGTGAGAATGCCCAGCTACTCGTAATACAACTGTGTCTGCCAGCTTCCTTCGCTTCCCTTGCAACCGGGTGTTCTCATGTGATCAAGTTCAGGCCGAAGAGACGCAAACAGAAGTGGTACGTGCAACTTCCACTCTTAAAAAAAGAGGTAGGGGTTGACCTCTCCTTGCTCATGTTCCCTTTTCTACTGGAATGTAGATGAGTAGCGCACCATCTTGCACTGGGTAGATGCTAAAACAAAAAAGGGAAGGTGTCACCTGGATCTGCTATCATAAAGTTGGCAGACCCTGGACTGGTAGGCTTTTTTTTTTTTTTTTTTTGGTAAGAAAAAAGCAAACTAAACCAAAACTCCTATCTTGTTCAAGTCAGTTACTTTGTCTCTCATTATTTCAGCATCTGAAACTACATCCTAAGCAATGCACATCTCGACAGTGTTTAAATCATATGGAAGTTTAAATTCCAGGAGGACTAAAGACTGAAATGTTAAACATTTAAATAAAAACCATCACAAAAAAGTCTAAGAGATCCCATGTAAAATTGGGAGTACCTTCTTAACCAAAGTAGGATAGCCAGAAGCTGTTAAGGAAAAATGGATATATTTACATGACATTTTAAAACTTTTATGTAGAAAAACATAAGACATACAACCCAGTAGAAAAGTGAGCAAAGGGTATGAACAAGCAACACACAGAAAAGCAACTCTGAATATTTGATATAGAAAGGGTGTTCAAATTTTCCCGTGGTGGGAAAAGAAATATACAAAGATGAAAAGATTGGCAGGCATTCTGCAGAGCATGTTGGGTGAACTTTTGCATTATTTCCCATCCCATTTTCTAAATTTACAGAATGGTACAATATTGGCTTTTCAAAATATTTAACAAAGTAAATAAAAATAATAATCAGAGATCAGAGACCAAGTCTCATGCATTCTTTGAAATTCATACAGACCCTATGATGGCTTCCAAATATAATATGAACTAGAAAAAAGCTAATGAGGTGAAGGGAGTGAACTTTTGCATTCTCCCTTTGTCCCACTTTATGGCTGAATAGTCATTTTCCCATTCCTTGCCCTGTGCCATGGGGCAAAAATGAGATTATAGGATGACATGCTGATCTGCAAAAGAAGCCTTTTAAAAAATACGCTTAAAACAAATGTATGCATTTGCTGAAATTCTCTTAAGAAATCAAAGAGGACTTGGATGACTTCTGAAGAAATCAGCAGTTCTCTAACTTTTATCCTCCCCTTTCTTCCGCGCAGCCGGTAGGTCCTGTTCAAAGCTGACAGGCTCCGAAGAGGGTCTGAGGAATCAGGTCTTGTGAGAAAGAAACAGGGACAGTGTCAGGAAATGGAGACAGCCCCTGGACCAAGAGTGACGGGGAAAGATAATTGCACGACCACATGGGTTGTGGAATGGAAAGGCAGCCACAGCAACAGCACAGCCCGGTGGCCGGGACCACAAGGTTCCCATCATGTGCACGGCCCTGAGGGCGTCTGTCCTTTGAAGTGGATTATCAGACTGCTTGTGACAAGCATGCTCTGAGTTGAGGTTTCCCATCATCGCAATGGCTTAGGGTGGCTCTCAGCAGAACTGGTTCTGGGGGACAAAATAGAGGTGAAAAACTGGCTCCTGACTTTCCTCCATCCTCGGGCATTAGGTTTCTTGCATTTCCAAATGCCAGTGCTGTAAAAGGCCAGGGGTGTGGGGAGCCAAGAGAAGAGAGGCCAGTCAAAGTGCAGGTTAACGAGCCATTCCTGCAGGACGCCTGGGTGGCCTCACCGCATTCGGTGTCATCCCTGCGTCCCCCCTGCACGTGGCGCGGTGCCTACCGTGCAGCCGACATCAAAGCTGCACTATCGAATGTGTGCATGAAACAACCCGCTTTGTACAAGCCGTGGGTTTTGCCTTGGGGAAGAACTACCAACAACTTTTATTTTCTGGGGGGCGTTTTTTAAAATCCTCTTTTTTTCTCTCCCTCGCCGAGAACACGGTGATTCTACAGAATGATTATGGAGTCTCTTCTTAAGCTTCGCTGCCTAAGCTGCTGACTTGTAGGTAAGAGTGTCATCCCAGATGAGCAGAAAACCTAAGTGTTTTTTTGTTTTTTTTTCTCACACTCAAATGCTCAGTTGGTGTTGCCTGTAGGTATCTCCAGTCCCTAAGGCGGATCACCAGTCCCCAGTGGACCAAGTTCCTAGCTAAGGGCTTGAAGATGGAGCAAGCTCCCCAGGCACTTTGGAAAGGCCTTCACTCGAAGTGACACAGTGTCCCACCTGGGAGGGTTCCACGGCAAGGGACACAAGCCCTGGTGCTGCTGCATGTCTTACTGCACTCGTGAGCACAGGCCAGCCCCGTTGTTTGCAGGTGTGTGTGTTGTAATTGCTCCCTGGGCAGCTCTAAGTGGCAACGCATGTGCGCTGACAGCACCCGCTCCCTCTCACCTCCCCCTGCAGGCCTCGGGGGATACATTTCACCGCCACACTCGGACAAACGACCCGCTTCAGGAATCACAGACGTGGCTGGTTTTCTCAGGAAGCGGTCTCTGCAGGCAATAAAATAAAACGATGTTTGGTTTTTCTCCAGGAAACCTTTTCTCCATCAGTTTCAACAGCCCCAGGCAATAACCTATTGTAACCGATGCTTCTGCCCATATCTGGTATCCTGCTACCTCTCCTGTCTCCAAAGCCCTAAATGGATTCCTAAGAGGAGGACGGACTATATTCAGTATGTATTTACTCCACAGGAGTTGGCATAAGAAAGAAGCTCTGGATTCATTTCACTAATAAAACAGAGTGAACAAAGGTCTTGCTGCATTAATTTTACTCCTGAGGTCAAACCGTGTGACAGTCACTCACCTGTACCGCATAACCACACAGAACTGGGCTTCGCGTTGTCCAAGAAGTTAAACTTTAGAATCCCATTTCCCCGTGGGCCTGAGTTCCCATTTGCTCATTTATTAAAAGCAATACATACTATTTTTAAAATTAACTAGCTCTCTAAAAGTTCAATAAAACTCATCCTGTGCTGCATTTTGTGTTTCTCCCAAGGGAAAATGAGCACATCCGTGTTGGATGGTGAAAATCCAGGTGATTCATGCTTTAGTTCTGTATGGCTCTTAAAGGGCGGAGAAATAGCAAGAATATGCACAATATTTGTAAATAACTTGAGCCCTTATCAAAAGCTCCTTCCTTGGGAAATGCATAGAGAAGCACGTGAAGCAGGTTGACCCGGAAAGTCAACCAGAAGAAGGACCTTGCAATGGCTTAACCACCAAAGGTCATTTTACAGCACTGGCACTGTGAAAGGCTTTCAGAACAAATCTTTAGAAAGAGATTACCTTCTTCACACTTTTCCACCTGGCATAAGATCATGGGTTTCCTGGCATGTCTTAGTGGGAAGAAAATAAAATTCTATTCCTCTGATCTGGTAAAGTAGGCCTGGGGCTCTTAATGGCTCCCTCCTTGCCCATTGGCAGGGCTATAGCATCTCCATAAAAGCCTCCTTTCTTCCACAGTGCGGGCCTCTTACCTTGGACCTATATTCTTTATCTTGGTTCACTCCTGGATGTCCAAAACTGTCCTTCTGATTGCTAAGCCCAGCATGTGAACGTCGGCAGGAAGCCACGGTCCCTTCAGCCTCACTTTGGACCTTACCAACAACATTGCCTAGGTCCCCCATCCTGGCTTCTGTGCTATGGGGTCCTTGCAGATATGTCACTTATGGCAAAATGTTCTCAGGTCAAAAGAGGTCCTATTGGGAGCAAGAGAGTTTAATTAGAGGCAAAGCCTGAATTCCTACCAAATGAGTGTCCTCCTTAAGTCATCTATAAATCATTAATACCAGGGTGCTCAACTGTTCTTCCCTTTCTTCCTTCCTGCCCATGGGAACTGTACAATTTTTGGTAAAGGAAAAAGAAGATGAGTTTCTTTCTTTCCAAGCTACCTTCATTTGGGCCCATCCTTGCTGACGACCCTTTCCCTAATGATCTCTGAGCTCCAAGAAGAGGTCCGTGGGAACAAGCTTTCCTGCGACCTAGTCCGTATCTGGGATGTTCCAGAAAATGATGCATGGCACATGCTGTTTATCCTCCAAATGCCTCGTTCGTCTTCCAGTGTTGGTTGAACTGCATCTTACGTAACTTCCTCATCCAAGGAGTCATGGTCAAGAATCCATTGGCCCCAAATGGACCCATGACTAGCAGGCATTCTTCAAACTCCTTAAAATTGTCTGTGGATTTTTCTGTATGTGATTTTTGTTTCCCAGAGGCAAGGAGCCACAGCGTTCATCATGTATTCAGAGAGGTCTGCACTACTCAAAAGATTAAAAACAGGTGTTTCCTTGGACTACTTTTCCCATTCTGACATCCCATGAGACTCTGATCATGTTTGCAGCTTTACCACCAAACCCAAACCTAAAAAAATATTTATCTGAGAGTGTCAGCGTGGAATTTCTGGGCTACATCTGTGCCTGCTGAAGAAGGCACTGGCAGTTCTGAAGAGGGCACGGCACGCCCCCACATTGATATGATTAATGATTTCCAGCAAATTCTGAGGTTTACTGGGTAGTACCACAAATCATTTTCTGCTTTTCACAATAACTGCCTTGATAACAGGCCTCCTTAAAGAAGACAAAAGATTTGTCTGGTCCCTGGAGACTATCCAAAAAGCTTACTAAACTCTGCCTCAATCCTGGCCTTCTCCTGGCCCAGCCCTGTCTTGAAAGGTCTGGACAATACCTCCAGGATGACAGAGGGACCACTCCACCCTAGGAAAGCTTCCTAGGAAAGTTGAGATGGCTTCCTGTCTTTTGGGGATGTCAGGACTCAACCAGAGGGGCAGTCTAAACTCTAATGTGGTTGGCAGTGGAGGGCCACAACCTGGGACCTTCAATATTGAGGGTCTTGTCAGGTTAGTGGGCTCCTAACTCTTGCTGCCTCTCTCCCTATAACTCCACCCAGTCTTTCGATACTTCCTGGTCTGATCAACACTATGGGATATCACCCTCCACCCTGTGCAAATGGCCGATGATGATGTCTCTTTACTCCAGACCCGCATTCTAATTTCTGTTTGCCATCATCACTTGGATGTCACTTGGGTATTGAATCAGCATATCAAACTGAATATGCATGTAACTTTGCTCTTGATCTACCACAAATCTGCCTCTTTTCTTGCACTCTTCATCTAATTATACATACATCCCTCCTTCTGGATGATCATGTCACAGAATCTGGGAGTTACCCTTGAAATCTTGCTCTCTGATCCTCCTTAATCAATACCTCAACAAGCCCTGTTCACTCTACCTCCAAAGTACATCTCATATCTCCATTCCACCACCTTTACCAGGCTACCATAAGCCTCATGAGAATATTAGATTTCTGACATAATTGTCCTGCTTGTCTCTGTCGGATCCTATTTTCTTAGTGCACCTAGAGTGAACTTTGAAAAATGCAAATCTTGCCAAATCTGCACCTGCCAACCTAAAACACCAACAATGTATTTGTATAATGGATAAAGTCCAAACCTCTTACCTGTAGGCCATGGTTCCCAGGAGATCTGACTCCTAATTCTCTGGTTAGCCCCATCTCCTGCCCCTCCTGGCTTTGTTCTCTGTTCTCCAGCCACACTGGCCTTGCAGGACCTCCCAAGCTTGTATTGCTTCAGTACAGTGATGGACCTTCACTCTCTTCTCTCCCCCGATGTGGAGGTAGGGGAAGGCATCTAGAGGACTCTACGTGTAAGAGGGGGCAGGAAAAGAGCACCGTTCAGGTTAAGAAAGACATAAAAAGTCTCTGTCCTGTACCACACAGCAAAAGTCATTGATTTTATGGCATTTGCTATAGTATACTATAACACCCCTCCCTAGCCCAGTTGAAGTGGCTTAAGGATTGTTATTTCATCATTTTATATGCCCCAAGTGTGATCCACAAAGGAAGTTATTTTAAGATAGTACTTACTTAAAAAGCTGCGTTCACAAATTGAAGGCAAAACCAACCTATCTTTTCTTTTATGGTCTCATTTATGGCTGTACTAGGTCCATGGAGAGTTCAGTTCTACTGTTTAATCATTAAAGAGACCAAGCAGGTATTGCCAAATTTTCTTTGATAACATTTGGAACATACAAAATGATCTTAGACAATGGAACAGGAATATGGACAGAATAATGTGCATATACTTTTAACTTCTAGAAATAAACATTAAGCATTTGGAGAATGTTAGTTCCTAGAGCCCTTATATTTTCAACTCATTGTTATAAAATTATTTAAAGACATACAAAAGTAAGGAATACTATAATAAACCCTCATGTGTCTATCACTTAGCTTCAGTAATAATTAACTTACAGTCAATCCTGTTGCATGAATACTTCCTCTGCTGCCTCCTTCCTAAACTATGTTATTTTCAAGCAAATCCTTGACGGCACACCATTGCATATGAAAATATCTTACCATGTATTTCTAAAAGTTAAAGGGCTCTTTTAAAACCATAATCAAAAGATAAATATCTGCTGGGTGAGATGGCTCACACCTATAATCCTAGCACTTTGGGAGGCCAAGGTGGGAGGATCGCTTGAGGCTAGGAGTTCAAGACCAGCCTGAAAAAAAGAGCAAGACCCCATCTCTACAAAAAATAGGAAAATTAGCCACCTGTGGTAATTTAGTCCCAGCTATTCAGGAGGCTGAAGCAAGAGGATCATGTAAGCCCAGGAGTTTGAGGTTGCAGGGAGCTATGAGGACAGCATTGCACTTTAGCCCAGGCGACAAGCAACACCCTGTCTCAAAAAAAAAAAGATAAATATTAAACCTAAAATTAGTAATACTTTGTTAATATCATAAAATATTCAATCACTATTCAAATTTCCAAGATTATCTCAAAATGTTTTTATGGTTGGTTTATTTGAATCAAGATCAGTAGATACACATTGTATTTGTTTCCTATAACTTAAGTTTCTTTTAATCTATGGATTTCCCTTCTCTCTGTTTTTCTTTTCAATTTATTTGTTGAAGAGATTAATAAACCAGGTCATTTATCCAATACATTTCACTAATTGAATCGCCATGATGCTATTTAACATCATTCTTCTATTTTCTTAAAAACCAGCAATTAAATCTAGTGGCTTTATCAGACTGAGTTTCCCTTTTTGGCCGGAATGATATATAGACGTGAACTTCCATCGGGAGGCACGTAATGTCTGATTGTCTCTCTTTCTGTGATGTTAAAATTGATTGCTGGGTCAGGTCTTGTCAGTCTCTCCATCATTTTAAAGTTCCCCGTCAGTTGTCATCTAACGGGTTTAGCAGTCATTGATGATCATTGCCCACATCCATTATTTTACCAGGGATTCTGAAATGGTGTCGTTACATTAGTCCTTCCCCATTTACTCTGGAGTACTGCTATAAAGAAACACTTTTCTTCATGAGCTATATCATTACCCTTAGGCACAGTTTGTAAAGGAAAAGCAGAATAAATGCTTAACTCTCTTCCAGTTTTTAGAATAGCGAGTTAGTTCCTTAGCATCTGCCAACAGTGACCAAATGACCAATGGTGGTGTGTTTTTTTTTTTCAGTATCATTTTGAACTCATGAATCATATGATATTGGATGCCTGCAAATTCTTTGCAGTTGTTGTTCTTTTTGAGAATAAACTGTCCCATCTTTGGTGAGCAGGAGTCTCTTCAAGTTGGCTCCTAAGCCCTTTTGACATGACCTTAGTGATCTTTAATAGATTTCTCTTATTTTCTTGTGTAAGATGTTCCAGGCCCTCTTGTCTATTTCCTGGACCAGATCTGAAGCAGTTGTTTCTCCAAAGAGCCTTTTAATGGGAAATAATAGTTGGAGACCACAGTCTGAGTACGAGGCATGCTCACTGCCCCTGGGTGTGTTTGTTTGGTCCCTTCAGTGGACAAGGCTATAACATATGCATTTTTTAAAAGAAGAAAAAAACCCTCATGAGCAGAATGATATAGACCATTGAAATAGAAGTTAGAGAGATTCTGTTTTTTGATTTTCTATTTGTAACTCTAATCATTTATCCTGAAAATCTTGGTTCTAGTGACAATAGCATAATTGCTTGCTTGTTTTATCTTACATATCTTCATTTCAGAAAAATAATACCAAAATCATTAGTAACAATATAAATACTGAAAACAACTTAAAATTTCTCTGGAGTTTTGTTTTGCCATTAGGATATACCCCACTAGAGATGATCAGTCAAGTTACTATATTTGAAAAATCCCTTGAAATAATTTGCCTTTATGTGGTTAAGTAGTTCAGTAGTTTATTTTTAATACTTTAAAAAGGATTCTTTTTGCTTACATTGTTCTGTTTTCAAATAACCACAATGATTTTCTGAGCATTATGACAGTAACATTCTTGGAGTGTAGAGATGAAAGGAATGTAACGTCCTTTTGTGTTTATAAGGAAAAAAAAAATACAGTGAAGTGGAATGATGGTCGGTCAAACGATACAGGGGACACGACAGAACCTGATAACAAGGTGAGATTCACACTTGGTTGGAGTCACTCCAGCCTTCTCATCAGCCCCGCAGCAATAATTACTGCAAACTTAGTGGTCACAGCTTGGCAGAACAGCAATGCATTAGGAGTGATTTTTCTAATGGAATTCCCTGATGTACTGAGAAAAGAGTGACCATTTTCCATTGGACTCCCTTCTACATAGTCAATAAACATTCTTGTCTTTGCTCAAACTTTATTTCACCTGTAACCCAATGAATGGCTAATAGTGCCTTTGTTTTATGACAGTGTTTTGTCATCAGGTTTCATTATTTTACCTTTAGGATGCATTTGTTTTATTTCCTTTGGGAATCATAAACAAGGTGTACTACCCTTTGAGTTAAATGAGGAGCACACCACCCCTAGGGAGGTGCCTTGGCATCTGTGTTCCTTAAGGGACAGCAACCAGGATGCATTGTTATATATAAGCATCACCAGAATATCATTTATGTAGCTTTCACACTAAAATGTTTTCTAAGGAGATAAACAGTAAGACATTTGGTTATGAAACACTAGGAATTTTATTTTTTTAAGTACCGTACATAGATAGTACTCTGCCCAACCTGATTTTTGTGTCAGATCTTCCTTTTCCATCTTTCAGCAATGAAAACTGAGAGGGACTCTAGTCATACAGGGACCCTGGGGGGGTAGGTACTATTCACAGGTAGTCTCTTTGCGTTTCAGTATCATGCTCACTAAGTCGGCGATGAGCATTGGACTTGGAGGAAGCCAAGTCATCCGGAAAGCTCTGAACCCTTTGGGAGCTGCAGCATGACTCACTTAAGTGATCAAAGTCCTCAAAACTCATGGGCTGAGAAGGCCGGTTTTAGCTTCACGCTGACGTATTGGGCTGTTGGGGCCAGGGACTCAGCCTCTTCTTGCCCACTAACTATCAAGAGAACGCACAGCATAGCATGGAGCCTGGGGCACTGTGAGACATTGTGAGGAAGTGTTCATGGCACTCCCCAGAGGACACTGTTATCTTCCTCACTGTACATAAAGACAAGAGTCTGTTCCCTTGGTTCCTGCTAATTTTGTATTTGCAGCCCACATTTCTTTTTTTCTCCTCCTCTTTGATTCATGATCTATTTGAAGGTTCTGCTCGTGTATCTATTCCTGACACTCCATTCCTGGGCGCCACTGCCAGTTTGGATTGTCTTTTTCTTCCTTCCCTCATTTTTACAGTTAAGCAATATCGACACGAAGGGATTTATGTGTCCTGAGTTGTGCTGTGCTGTGTGGGCCGTGCTGGCAGGTGACATGTGGGCCCTTCGGAGCCCTTGCCGTGGGTTTCAGTTATGTTTATCATTTCATGTGTGTCGTGGTTTGAACATGGCACTGATACATTTGTTTGACGATCTCAACCTCCCCCAACTGAATACCATATTTACGCTAACCTCTGGTCCTCACTTCCGCCAGCAAGGCCAAATGGCTATACACGTGAGGTTATGACCATGATGTGCTAAGGTCCCACGCCTGTCCCAGGCTCCTCATGAGCGCTTGTGTCTGCTTAGACCACGTTAGTTATTCAGCAGTGTGATTTCTTACCTTCTATTTCTATACTAATGTAGAACTCTGGAAAGCAAAGACCACGTTACCCCAGTCCTTTGCAGAATGTCGTTTTTGATGAGTGATTTAATGCAATGCTCTTTTTTTTTCATTAGTGGCCAGAACAAGATAATTGATTAAAGACATTGCCCACCATCATCTATGCAAGGACTAATCTGATAAATTTTGTGTTCCAAGAAGTGTTTTTGTCCATGCAACTAAGTCTGCATGCCTTGTTTTATCATAAATTTAAAAATATTTTACATAAATATATGTATAGGTTTTATTTTCTATTTTATATAAAAGAAAATTTATCTCAAGTTCAGTACCAAATACTGCCTCCTTTAAAGAATGGTGGGGATTTTTATTTTGAGTATCTGAATTTGTTTCAATCCACAAGTGTTTCAAATTCTTTTGTAAATAACCGCTGTATAAATACTGATTTAATTTTTACTGTGGGACATTAGGTCCCAGGAGTCAGCTATAAAGGTCATGATGTAAATATCACTCTAACATCCTAGTCATTTCCTTTTTGATTTGGGTAGTAGATTTTATCTAGGTAAAAGAGAGCTTCTCTACCTTTCTCTGTGCTTTAAAAATTTTTTTGTAGGTTTTCCGTCCTATATTTTCTGTTTCTTCATAACCATACCCAATGAGATTGTTCCAACTTCTTTTCACAATAATGAAGTAGAACAAGTGATATTTTTTCTGTCCAAAACCCAAATGTCCAAATAGTTCAAAATTTAATTTTTTTTTATGCCAGGTCATTTGACAAACATTTTTAATAATTAAGCCATGGTGGATTGTACCATTTTGCCTTTGTGTTTCAGATCTTTTTCACTTTAAACAGTTTCAACAATCCTACATTTAGGGTAAGTGCAGTATTTGATAGCCCGTATTTCCCGACTTGCTCATAGAGTAGAACATCTGGGACACATGCCAGCCAAACACGAGAGTCCCTTATAGTGCCAGGCTTTGTCTTTTTTTACTCAGATCTATTCCTCACTCTGCCCCTGAAAACTACATTTTTGCAGGCTCACATGAAAACTGGTTTCTTACTAGGTTCAGAAGAAGAGGCATTGGCAGGAGGTGGGAGGAACGGAAGAAAGGAGAAGCCAGATATTTCCACCCTCCCCCACCCCTTCACCCAATTTAGACTCCTCCAGCAATGACTGAATCTCCTCCATGCTCCCAGAGCCTACCGGGTCCTGGCCTGTGTCTGAGCCATCTCATAAGTCTACCTCCCCCAGGTGGCCCTGAGCCTGGGCTCTGGGTACACCCTCCATACTAGTTTCTTAAGGCTGGTCTGACAAAGTACCACAACTGTGTGGCTTAAAACTACAGAAATTTATTGTCTCACAGTTCTAGTTGCTGGAAATCCAAGATCGAGGTGTTGGCAGGGCCATACTCCTTCTGAAATCTGGGTAGAATCCTTCCTTGCCTTTTTCTAGCTTATCCTTGGCGTTCTTTGGTCTGCAGCTGGATTATTCCAACCTCTGTCTCTGTCATCACGTGGCCATC